GAGCACCAGTAGCTCCACCAGGATCTCCAGCACCTCCAACACCTCCAGCCTCAGCAGCTCCAGCTCCTCCAGCACCAGCAGCTCCAGCAGCTCCACGACCTCCAGCACCAGCAGTACCTCCAGTACCTCCAGTACCAGCAGCTCCACGACCTCCAGCACCAGCAGCACCTCCAGTACCTCCAACACCAGCAGCTCCACCAGGACCAGCAGCACCAGCAGCTCCCCGACCTCCAGCAATAGCAGCACCTCCAGTATCTCCAGCACCTCCAGGACCTGCAGCACCAGCAGCACCTCCAGGACCTCCAGCACCAGCAGTACCTCCAGTACCTCCAGCACCAGTAGCTCCAGGTCCTACGGTAGGAGATCCGACGACACCAACACCAGAAGGACTCGCAGCACCCCCAGAGTCAGCACCCGAATTCGCAGCACCCCTAGAGGCAGGACCCTCGGTCTCAGCACTCGCAGGCACAGTACCCTCAGTCGCAGCACCCCCGGGCTCAGTACCCTCAGTCTCTGCTCCAGCGTCCACAGCAGCAGGCTGCAGAGGCGGCGAAGACAGCAGAGGTGGGAACCCGGAGGATGTAGCCAGACGAGGAGAGCGGGCACCCCCGGACTCACCACCCCCAGCCCCAGCTCCAGTAGTCTCAGCTCCAGAGTCCACAGCAGCAGGCTGCAGAGGCGGCGAAGACGGCCGTGGCGGGAAACCCGGAGGGGTCTCCAAGCGAGGAGTGCGGCGAGTGGTCGCCGTGTCGTCGGCGACGGCGTCACCCCCCTCAAGTGAGTCAGAGGAGTCAGAAGAGATCTCAACTGGCTCATCCAAGGGGGGTGGGTCTACCTGGGACACACCTGAGGGAGCAGGACCCTGTGGGGGAAGGGGGTCTACCGGGGGGGGACTGGTACCAGGAAGAGAGGTGCGAGAGGGACCGGGTGGGACGCATGCGGGTGAAGTCGGTAGTAACAGACCGACTCGTCAAAGGTGACATCCTGAGAGGACAGAACCCGACGCGAGACAGGGTGGTAGAACTGCCAGGGTGGAGCGTCGGTGGGGAAGCCCAGGAAGACACAGCGGAGAGTGCGAGGAGAGAGCTTGCTCGCTTTGGTATTGCAAACAAAGGAGAGCGCGCCCCAGGCCCGAAACGACGACGCATCACCAGGCTGTCCCGTCCAACGGAGTGTGGGCGAGGTCTCTGGAGCAGAGACACGGGGCCAGAGGTTGAGCTGATGTGCGGCGTATCAGACCGCAAACGGCCACAAGAAATGGGGAGCAGCCGCATGGATCATGGAGGTATGAGCAACCTCCATGATAAGGCCAATGCGACGCTCAGCGATCCCATTTTGCTGCGGAGAGGCCGGAAGCGTGAATGACTGGGCGATGCCCTCATCCTCGCAAAACGTCTCAAGGACGCCAGAGGAGAACTCACCACCCCTGTCAGAGTGCAGACGCAGGACTGGAAAGTCCCGCTGAAACCGCTCGCGCAGCTGGTGACGAGTAGCACGGATCCAGGGGATCAAGACACCACTGACATCCGCCTTGCGCCGCAAGGGGAAGACTGTGGCGTAGCGTGTGTAGTCGTCAACCACTAGCAGGAAGTAGCGCTCCAGGTCCGTTCCACCGACGGGGGCCGGGCCCCACACGTCCATGTGGAGAGTCTGCAGAGGAGCAGCGGTCGGAGGAAACTCGGAGGAGTGAGGAGCGGCACGCTGCCGCCCCTCGACGCAAGGAAGGCACGGCGGCGCAAGTGAGCGCGGGAGGGGGGGCAGGGTCTCTGGGAGGCCAGTGACCAGGAGCCGGGAGTGCATGCGGCGCAGACGCTGCAGGGAGCGGTGACCAAGACGGTGGTGCCAGCGCTGAGTCTCGTGCGTGAGTACTCGGCACGAGCAAGACGCAGCTAACTGCGCTGACGCAGACGCTCGACTCGACGTAGCTACCTGACCTGACTCAGCCACCTGTGCAGACACAGTGGTCAGTGTGTAGAGACTGGACCCAGGCTGTTGAGTGAACGTAGCCAGGTGACGGTCAGTCCGGGAGCACGTACAGATCGCCACACGCTGCCCTCCAGGAATAAAGGTATCAACCCAGACATCCTGAATGGCAGCGTTGCTCACCAAGTTCGTCGAGAACGTGGGGAGGTGGAGACCTGACAAAGAGCTGGAGGGGACTGCTGGACAAGGGAGGACCGTGGAGGCTCTCGCAACCACTGGGCCCCGGAGGGGTCAGCCATTGAGACTGGGACAGGTGCTGTGAGTGGTGTGACTGTGGTGCAATCACGGAAGAAGCAACGTGACGCGCCGGAGTCAAGCGTGAAAGTGTGCAAGACCTCAGCTGAGGCAGGACCTGTGGTAGTAGACGCACTAGCAACTAGAGCGTCGGTAGACTCACGGGCACCTAGAGCTGCAGCAGACTCACTAGCACCTGGAGTGGCAGCAGACTCACTAACACCTGGAATGGCAGCAGACCCACTAACACCTGGAGTGGCAGCAGACTCACTAACACCAAGAGCAGCGGTCTTAACAGAACGATAACCTCCACCACCAGGACGACCTCGCTGAATAACCCACTCACGAAGCTGCCGAGGGGTGGGGTCGTCCGGGAGAAGCAGTGCCCGCTGCTGTCCACCCCTGGCCGCAGCGACTGCCGCGAAAGTGGCCATGACAGACAGTGACTGTCAAGAGTAGGTCCAGCACCTCCAACTCCTACAGCGCCAGCAGCACCTCCTACACTCCCAGCAGCACCTCCTCCACTTCCAGTAGCACAAGTAGCAGCAGCAGCAGTAGTAACAGCAGCACGGCGGTTCGGTGGGGGTGGGAGGCCGCACCTCCACCACTCCCAGCAGTACTCCCTCCAGTAGCAGCAGTAGCAGGGCGGCTCGGGCAGCAGCAGCACTAGACCGAGTAGCACTAGCTGTAGCAGTAGTAGTTGCAGTAGCAGCAGCAGTGACAGCTCGGGCTGGGCGGCGCGGCTCGGACACAGTGGCAGAGCAGCAGTAGCACTAGCTGTAGCAAGTGCAGTATTAGGAGCTGCAGCAGTAGCACGAGCTGTAGCAAGTGAAGTAGTAGGAGCTGCAGCAGTAGTACTAGCTGTAGTAGCAGTAGCTTCAGTCAAGCAACAGTAGTTTCAGTCAAGAGCAGCTGTAGTAAGTGCTGGAGTAGGAGCTGCAGCAGTAGCACTAGCTGTAGCTTGAGTAGCTTCAGTCAATAGTAGCTGTAGCAAGTGCTAGAGTAGGAGCTGCAGCAGAAGCACTAGCTGTAGCAAGTGCTGGAGTAGGAGCTGCAGCAGTAGCACTAGCTGTAGCAAGTGCTGGAGTAGGAGCTGCAGCAGTAGCACTAGCTGGAGCAGCCGTAGCTTTAGTCAGTAGCAGCTGTAGCAAGGGCCGTAGTAGCAGCAGCAGCAGTAGCACTAGCTGTAGCAGCACTAGCTTCAGTAGCAGCAGCAGTGAGTAGCGCTAGCTGTAACAAGAGTAGCGTCAGTAGCAGCAGCAGTGAGTAGCGCTAGCTGTAGTAGCAGTAGCAAGGAGGAGCAGCTGCAGCAAGTAGCAGCAGCAGCGAGTGCAGCAGGAACACGGGCCGCGTGCGGGCCAGGCGCGGGGTGTAAGGGCTGCGTGCGGGCCTAGCGCGGGCTTTACGAGCTGGGTGCGAGCCTGACGTGGGCTGTACGGGCTGCGCGACGGCCTGGCGCGGGCTGTACGGGCTTCGCGACGGGCCTACGCGGGCTGTACTGGCAGCTAGGGCGCGGTCAGGGGGGGTCGCACGTGACTAGGAAGGAAAATCGCGTATAGGGCAGAAAAAGGAACCGTCTCGCCTAGAGCACGGTTTCGAATTTCGCGTTTCTCCTAGGGGCACGACTCGGGCAGTAGATCGCAATAGTAGTGGTGGGCCCTTTTGAAAATTCGGTCCTAAGGAGCATTGTGCTCTTAATACCATATTAGAATCACTAGCTAGGTGAGGAATGAGTGTGGATTAGGTAAGAGGGAGGGGGTACAAGGATGTCGAGAGAGTTGGGTTGTACCCTCTAAGGTGTGACCCTACACAACCTAGAGTAAGAACATAACAATATGTTTTGACAAAGCAAAAGGGAGTGTTGGAAACTGGTTTAAAAGCTTTTTTCGAACCGCAACAGCAACAGTAAAACAGTTATAGCATCCTTTCATATTCCTTGTAATCTTATAAAAGCTTGTATTACTTCCTTATAATTAATCTATCTTGCCCTCACATACCAACGCAACGTGGTTCAACAGTCTGTCATTAAACGCTTCCTATCAGAGTCTTAGCCTTGAAAGATCCTAAGGGCTTTTCTCGGCCCAACAGGGGGCTCGCCCCAAGACTGAAGATTTCGCCATGGGATCAAGAAGGGGGGCGAGGGAATCTTGCACTTGCTTCCCCCCTTCCTTTAGGGGGGGAATTCTTTTCAGGGAGGGGATGCACCTCCGAAATGTGTGGTATGCACGAGGCAAGGGAGGGGATGGGATTCCTAGCTGGCAGGGCAGGAAACTGCCCGGCGCATTCGAGATCCCCCGCCCCACCTCCAAAAAGTGGGTGTTCGCCACGACAGCTAGCCCACCGAGGTTCGGAGGGGATCGTCAGGCCCGACAGGAATTTGTCGGTCTGACCGCCCCCGAAACCCTGATTTCAGCCCTTCACGAAGGTGCAAGGGGGATTCCCGATCCCCTCCCCATCCCTTTGATGGCCCACAAAAGACGTGGCGAACAGGGCCATGGTCTGTGCAAAAGGATTCATACTCACTAACAAATTAGGGAACCATTTTACTCAACACTTCCCTTTCACTGCAGTTGGCAATCCGCATATGCATGCTTTTGATATGTTTCTTTTGCGCGTTAGTAAAGCAAATGAGATGCTGACAGGTATTACGGTATCAACACAATCATGGCAATTAAGAGATCAACAAGACGGGGGATATCAGGATGACGAATGGATGTACAACACAAAGAATGCTGGCATGGGCGACAGTACAGGGGGTTTGGGAGGGTGGTGGGCAAGGAGGACTATGAGGAGTGTGATGGTGAGGAGGGGAAGGGAGGGCAGGCAACTGAGAGCACTCGGCATTCCAGTGTGTCTAGATCCACCTGTGTAAGGAAAATGAGGAAGGAGAGGGCAGATGGGGGAGATGAGGAAGGACAGGGCAGATGGGGGGGATGAGGAAGGACAGGGCAGATGGGGGGGATGAGGAAGGACAGGGCAGATGGGGGGGATGAGGAAGGACAGGGCAGATGGGTTGATGGGGAAGATAAGGAAGCTGGGGAAGAATACAGTAGGCAGAAAAGTGGATGGAGAGAAAACCAGGAAACGAAAGACAGGTTGTGACAAATAGTCGATCTAAGGCATTAGGAGATGCTGTGTACAGGCGAAAACCAGGAAACGAAAGACAGGTTGTGACAAATAGTCGATCTAAGGCATTAAGAGATGCTGTGTACAGGCGAGGAAGCTACAGCGCACACACGACAGCGCACACACACACAGCAGTACAGCAGCACACACACACACTCACATACACACACACTCACACACACACACACACACACGCACGCACGCACACCCACCAGCACAGCTTGACATGTTTCTGAGAACTTTGGAATAGCAACCAGCCGCACCACCTGCTTCTGGGGACCTGCACACAGCACCATGCATCACAGGGCAAACAGAAAAGATGAACAAAAAACAAGTTGCTCCGATGATAAGCCATTCTGTACGTGTATGCATCGCACATGTATGGCTGTGCGGCCTCAAGAGCAAGTCATTTTCTGCAACTATGCATGACCAACGAGACTATTTTTGAGTCGACTAAAAAACAACCATGCATGACCAACGAGACTATTTTTGAGTCGACTAAAAAACAACCATGCATGACCAACAAGCTCATTCTCTGACCCATGAATTCAGACATAAGTTTTGACGCACCTCACAAACTAGTCTTCGGTGCCAGCAAGTGGTGATCGTCTGACCGTCCCGTACCCTACCTCGGATAAGGCGCGTGGCGAATCGCGGCTGGTTGCCGGCAAAGAAGACGTGTGGGCACGTGGTGAGCACAAAGGGATCGTCCAGCTGAAACGGGTACACGCCTGAGGGGCGCAGAGCAGCAGGGCAGGGCAGGGCAGTGCAGGGCGGGCACGGCAGGGCAGGGACCAACAGGGAGAGCAGGGAGAGGAGTCGCGGTTGGAACAATGATAGTGTATGTCAAGGCAAATTAGAAGGCTGTGAGTACAAAGGGGTCGTCCAGTTGAAACAGGCACACACCTGAGGGGCACAGGGCAGGGAGGGAGGGACAGGTGAGGTCAGAGAACAATGGTGTAAAGCCTGGCAATTGAGAAGGTGGTGAGTGAAAAGAGGGGTTGTCCAGTGGACAAAGGTACATGCCACCAGATAGGGGAGGATAAGTATGGAGGCAGACTATCAGCGGGGATTGAGATTATGAAAGCATGGGCATATTCTTCCCTCACCTTCTCTTCCCTCCCCTTCCCTTCTCTCGCCTTCCTTTCTCTCCCTCCCCTTCTCAGCCCTTCCCTTCTCTCCCCTTCCTTCTCTCCCTCCCCTTCTCCCCCCTTCCCTTCTCTCTCCTCACCTAGTGTGTCAGGAGCACTGGGAGCAACGTGTCTCCACTCCAAGCACCGCTGCATCAGATCCAGCACACCCGCCTCCTCCTCCTTCTCCTCCCCCCCCATCTCCTCTCTGTCGTCTCCCCTCCCGTCTTTCCCCCCCTCCTGCATTTCCACTCCCTCCATAGGCCCTGCTTGCTCCTCCCCACCAGCAGGAGCAGCAGCACCACCATCACCACCGCCACCACCAGCAAGGGGACGGGCATGGAGCAGGCGAGTGAGGCAGAGGCGGCGCATGTCTTGGACGTTCTGCCCGGCTGTGCCCAGGAACCGCACCCCCCCGAGAGTGAAGTGGTGCGGGTTTGTTGCTCGCACCACTGAGGCTCGGCGCGAGGCTTGGGGCAGCAGGCATGGGTGCAGTGGCTGGGGAGAGGGGTGGAGGGAAGGCAGGGGAAAGCAGTATCAGCGGGGTGAAAGTGGCAAAAGGGGGGAAATGGGAGAAAGATGAGAGGGTAAGCTCGTGTTCTGGTGGGTCCGTGTTCTGGTGGGTCCGTGTTCTGGTGGATCTGTGTAGCTGAACACATGACACTTCGACAAGCCTGCATCTCTCTTAATAGCCCTCTGATCACATCACTCACACTGCTCAATCAAACCCCTTTCCCTCTTAATAGCCCTCCGACCCCACTCTACGCCACCACCCAACCAAATCCCTTTCCCTTGCAAATCAGCCCCTTTGCTTCGCTGCTGTTCCTACTCACTCCCAGGCACCTTCCCCGGAACAATTTTACCCTCATTACCCTCTTCACCTTCCCCTTCCCCTTCCCCTTCCCCTTCCCCTTCCCCTTCCCCTTCCCCTTCCCCTTCCCCTTCCCCTGCACCTTCTCCCCTGCACACACCTGTTGTGGCAGGGAGTAGTTGGCGGGATCACAGGCGCCAGGCATGATGTCCACAGGGACTGACGCGGAGAGCTGGGAGAGGGCGTGGGGGGAAGTGAGAGGCAGAGGAAGAATTGCACCGGCATCAATTAAGAGGGTTTGCAAGGGGCTCTCAGGACTAGAAGTTGGATTGGCAGGGTCACAGGCGCCTGGCATGATGTCCACTGGCACTGACGCTGAGAGCTGGGATGGGTGGGGGGAGGAGTGGGAGGCAGAGGAGGAATTGTACAAGCTTCATTCAAGAGGGGTTTAGAAGGCGGCCTCGGGACTATTAGTTGGCAGGGTCACAGGCGCCTGGCATGATGTGCACTGGCACTGACGCTGAGAGCTGGGATGGGTGGGGGATAGAAGGGTGGAGAAAAAGGAATGGTTGGGGAAGGGAGAAGAGTGGGTCAGCCTGGGAGGAGGGGAGGGAGGGAAGGAATGGCGGAAAGAGTGGGGTTGGCGGGGTTGGAAAAGGGTGTGGCACCAGCACAAGGAATAGTAGGTGAAATGGGAGGGGGGTTGGGGAGGGGGGGTGGGGAAGGGAAAGAAGGGGAAAAGGAGGAGCATGGCAGCAGCACAAGCGGCAGCAGCAGCAGGAGAACTGACCTCGGACAGGAAAGTGTCAAGAGCCTTGACTGGTGCTGCCATGGCCTTGGCATCACGGTGTGTGAGAGACTGGTGGGGCGTGGAGGGGGGAGAGGTGGGGGAGAGGGCGGTGGGGGTAGGTGCAGAGACAAGACGCAGTAGGCTTACGATTTGAGTGGATGGGGCAGGTGCGAGCAGTGGGAAGAGGTGGGACAAGGTTGGAAAAACACGCAGTCGGCCTTTTTTTCAAGCGCAGGACATGCAGGGGAGAGGGGAGTGGGAAGAGGAAAGGTGTGGAGTGGAGAGGTGGGAAGTGGAAGCGGGGAGGAACTGCTAGAAGGGAGAGTGGGAAAAGCGTGTGAGTGAGTGGGTTTGTGAATAGGAGCATGCGTGAGTGTGTGAGAGGGATTGTAAGTCAGAGTGAGTGGGAGTGTGCATGACAGTGTGAGTGAGTGTGAGTGAGAGTGTGAGTGAGAATGTGAGTGAGAGTGTGAGTGAGAGTGTGAGTGAGCACCAAAAGTGGAGAATGCTGTGCAGGGACTGGGGGAGGTGGTTTCTAAGCATTCTAAGAAATCTCTCTTACAAGAGGACATGCAATGGAGTTGACAGTGTCGTGCAGGGATTGGGGGAGGAGGGAGCATGAGTGAGCATGCAAAAGGGAGTGTGAGGGGTAGCGTGAGTGAGCATGCAAAAGGGAGTGTGAGCGGTAGCGTGAGTGAGCATGCAAAAGGGAGTGTGAGGGGTAGCGTGAGTGAGCATGCAAAAGGGAGTGTGAGGGGTAGCGTGAGTGAGCATGCAAAAGGGAGTGTGAGGGGTAGCGTGAGTGAGCATGCAAAAGGGAGTGTGAGGGGTAGCGTGAGTGAGCACATACAGTGGAGTTGACTGTGTCATGCAGGGACTGGGGGAGGTGGGAGAAGGAGCACGAATCCCCTGCGATCACCACGCGCACTATCCCCGCACTCAACCGCTCCTCCTGAAACAATTGAAAGAAAAAAAACCCAGCAACGAAGTGCAGTCACTTGGGAAACGGGGTGGCTTTTGAGGCGCCACAACAATAGCTGGTCACAGGCAAAGAGCGGGGAACGAGTGGTGGGTTCCAGCAGGTGACTCAGTGTTAGGGAACGAGTGGTGGGTTCGGAGAAAGTTGTTCACAAAGGGAGGATGAGAACGAGGGGAGGAGAGGCGGGGGGAGGAGGGGAGTAGGTGGGGGGGTGAAGGAGGTAAAATCGGGAGGGTGGTGGAAAAGGGTTGGAGGGAGCGTGAAGGGAGAATAGGGAAAACTCTCAAGAGAGCGTGATGAAGGGGGAGTACGACTTGGGAGGTCTGGAAGGAAGAGAACAAGTCGTGCCCCTTTCCCTTCCCGCCACCCACCTCATCGGAGGGGGCCCCAGTAGGTGGGAGGTCTGAAAGGAAGAGAACACGCCTACTCAGGCTCCCTTCCCTTCCCCCCACTCACCTCATCCGAGTGCACGTGCCCTGACAGAAGATCCATCAGCATCTCCTCATGCAGCATGGCGTCTCCTCCGCCTCCGTCTGTAAAACATCCCACACCCCTCCCTCCCGTCTGACTCCTATTCAACCCCCCACCCAAACCCAACCCCCCTCTCCCCCCCCTGACGCTCCCCAGCCACTGACCTCGTCTGAGTGCACGTGGCCTGAGAGCAAGTCCAAAAGCATCTCTTCATGCAGCACGGCGTCTCCTCCGCCCCCCTCTGCTCCCTCTGCTGCCCGCCCCTGGGACGATGGCGGTGTGGCAGCAGGCGGAGGGGAGGGCGAGGGGGCGCCTGATGCGGTCGTGGTGGGTACGGAGAGGTGGAGGCCTGATACGAAGGCCACGTAGCGAGGGGGTGCTGGTAAGCGGGGAAGGGGAGGATTGGGGGAAGGATTGAATGGGGGAGAGCAGAGGGGGAGGGGTGGAGAAGAAGTGGGGAGTAAAGGGGAGAAAGAAAGGAAATGAAAGCAGATTTGCTGTTCGAATTTCCACCAACTCTTTCCCTTGTACAAGCAGTGCGCTGCCAAGTGTCTCACCCTGGTTGGCTGCAGCGGTCGTGTTGGCCGAAGCAGCAGAAGGGAAAGGATCCTGCAACGGCATGCCCGGTTCCAGAATCTCTATTGCACGAAAGTTCCCCTTGCTGTCCTCACAGCCCCGCACTGCCACCACCACGCCTGTTGATGTTGCGGTGAGAAAGGGGAGAGAGGGGAGCGGTGGGAGAGGGGGGAGGGAGAAGAGAAGGATGTGATGTGATAGATGGACGGACGGATACGCAGCAAAAACGTCAAAGCCCACCCCACAAAACCAGCCCCAAACCCACGGCACCAACCATAGCAGCACGGCATCAGTGGCACCTGTGACCCATGCAGCAGGCAGGAAGGCATCCCCAACAAGCTTGACGCGCCCCCTCTCGTCCTCCAGCACCACACTGCCGCCCCCCACCGCCACCACATGCTGTGGCAACACCACCAACCCACATCCCACAGCACCACCCACAAACCCAAAAACACCACCCTCCACCGCACAGCACCTGTGACCCATGCAGCTGGCAGGAAAGCGTCCCCAACGAGCTTGACGCGTCCCCTTTCGTCCTCCAGCACCACACTGTCGTCCTCCCCCACCACACTGCCGCCCCCCACTGCCACCAGCGGCGCACTGGAGCGCTGCCAGGCGCGCATGGGGGGAGGGGGAGGGGCGCAAGGGGAGGGGAGAAGCGGGGGGGAGAGGAAGAGAGTGGAAGAGAGAGAGGAAGATAAAGAAAGAGAAGGGGAAGAGCGAAGGGAAGGTAGAGAACAGAGAGGAATAGGGAAAGTGGAAATGAAGAAAGAGTGGACATTTTGGAAAAGCGAGAAAGAAAGAGGTTCAAGAGGATATGAGGATAGTGGAACAGCAGAAGCGAGAAATACAAGGGACAGGCAATGCCAAAAGGGAGGGGGGGAAACGGCAAGTCTAAGTCATTAACTGACCTCTCGACCGTAGTCTTGCAGTATGCTGGGCTAGAGCTTTAATTGGTGCGCAAGGGCAGGTAAGTGACTGACCCCTGGCCTCCAAACTCTGACTGACTGACTAACTGACTGACTGACTGACTGACTGACTGACTGACTGACTGACAGACTGACTGACTGACTGACTGACTGACTGACTGACTGACTGACTGACTGACTGACTGACTGACTGACTGACTGACTGACTGACTGACTTACTGACCTCTCGACCATAGTCCTGCAGTATGCTGGGCTTGAGCTTCATGTGCTTGTAGAGAGTGCCCACCACCACACACTCGCCCTTGTCCGCTAGATCCAACACACTGCTCACTGCACGGCATATGATTGCACAGGAGGAGGAGGAGGAGGAGGAGGAGGAGGAGGAGGAGGAGGAGGAGGAGGAGGAGGAGGAGGAGGAGGAGGAGGAGGAGGAGGAGTAGGAGGAGGAGGAGGAGGAGGAAAGAACGACTTTTGAACACTTACCATAAACAAAATTAGAGAGAGAAAACATGTGCCATCGGCCACGTGGCAAGCAGGCACTCATCAGCCACGTACACATGCAGGCAGCAGGCTGATCGTAGCGCACCTGGCAGGTGGGGCCATTTTTGGCGTGCCGAGGCGAGGAGGATGGGTCGCAGCGTGGCGAGGCGGGAGAAGTAGAGCGACGCGAACTGCTGGCTGCGGTATCTGTGCTGCGTGATTATAAAGGGGGTGTCATCCTGTGTACGGACACAAGCACACATTCGGGCAGATTCAACAACCGCCAAAACTGAATCAACGTCTAAGACCTTTATAATCACTGTCGATGAGACGCGACGGGCGATGACACGAGAGATTCGCACCTGACAGCTGTACTCTGCCGTAGCACGTTGCCGTCTGTAGGCATCACCACCAGGGACAGACGTGGGTCCTGTGCTAGGCGCTGGGGATGGCATGCTGGTCCGAGCCTAATAAGACCACGGGAAACTGGAGAACAGCGAGGGTCAACGAATGGAAGGAAAGCGAATCAAAGGGGTGACCAAAATGGAAGCTTGCTCAAGAGCTGTGGGGGGAGATTTGTGAATGGATCGTACTTGTAATGCCTCTTTATAAACGTACGCTTTGACATAAAAATTAACAAAGCCCTGAACTCCTAAAATGTAGCTATTTTGTTTTTTATTCTTTATGAATATGATTATTTCTGGGTTAAAAATACCCTCAGATGAGTTGTTATATTTTCCAGATGATTTATTTTTATTGGTCGGTAACAATGCTGTCTTCACTAGCACTTTTTTTTGTTGAAGGATGCAAGTACACTGTAACTGCGTATACATACACAGTCGTAACTCGCTTCACGAACACTGTCCAAAATGCGTATCTGTGTTTTCTTGCAACACCGAGTACAATCAGCCTTGTTTCCGTTCGTTGTTTCCCGCCCAATTTTCAAATGGGTCGCAGCGCGCTTCCCTGCTGTGACGCCGTCAATCAGCTCTGCCCGCCTGACACCTCTCTCCTGAACCAAATCCCTCGTCCGTCCACCTTCATTCCTTCCTCGCCCTTCCTTTCCCACTTCTAGCAAACACCATAGCCACCATCCAGAAGACAAGAATCTGTAGTTTTTATTCCTGAGCTATTTGGTTATCTTGCTTTTACTTTCAGGCAAGCCAGAGACGATCAATCAGGTCGAGGGAGACAACCTTAGAGTCACAGGGCTGGTTTCCTAACCGACGTGTTCAAAAGGCTTATCTTTTGTATTGACCAGCTTTACTTTACCTTCATTGCTCGCGTTGGACCATCATACTTACATCTTATTCAGGCGCTCCGGAACCTGTCAGGTTGTCCGTCACTAGACACTGTCATACATAAGCTGAAACATTTTACGTAGCACCGCCATCCACTCATCCTTTGGATTACGTTAACCGATGGCTGCACTTCGGACGTTTCAGAGAGAAAACATTGTTGGTGATGAGAATGCTTGGACACCGTACTATGGCGCAAGTAACAAAGGAGCTGCTGTCGAGAGAACGCCTCGTCGTGCTGGAGGTGAGTTTTCCCTTCGCTTTCTGTCTCCGACGCTCTGAGGTGGGGTGACCTTGCTGTCTACTGTAAAATGTTTTTGGAAGACTTTGCCCTTCACATAACGTTGAAAGCCTAGCGTCCTGCTGTTTGTTTTCAGGATTCGGAGTCGGCGCAAAGGATCGCATGGTTGCTCCTGGGAGTACCGTCCGTGCCTTCGGCACAGAGATACAGAACAACTTAAACTCTAACCGCATTGTTCCGAGCACGCCAGTTTCCAAGATGTTCGTTGCCCCTCTATCCACGGTTAAGGGAAGCAGGTCGGCTCTGCGGGACGTCACCAATGAGAACGATCCGGCGACTCAGATGAAGCCAGCTGCCAAGCGCAGATTCGGAGACGCCCTGACGAACACCATCCAGAAGCCGATTTCGGGCAGCCTGAATGCTAACACCACCCAGAAGGCCAAGACCATCCAGAAGGCTCAACCGTCCATAAACCGTCGACTTAAGCTGGAAGAGGAGACTCGGGCAAAGGATTTGTTCGGGTCGGCTCTGAAGGGAGGCCAGAACACGCAGGCCAACGGAGTTCCTGATGTCATAATGCCGCTGCCTTTTACGCAAGTCGAAAAGATTAGCTCAGCAGTTCAGGATCTCGCGATTGAGAAGGACACCAAGGGGAAGACTGTGCAGGAGTTGATCGCGCTGAACGACATAGATGCACTGGCGGAGCTTTATGCAGCCGATGGGGTGGAGAGGATGCCGATGGATGGTGATAGCTACGAGGCAGGCGTGAAGGCTCAGGCTGATGAAGGTAAGTGTTTGCGTAGCTCAAATGATACTTTAGAAGCTTACATCTTCAATTCGTCTAACAGGGATGTTTTTGTTGTCTTGCAGAAATTCGTCAGCGCATTGATATGATTCGGTCCATCCGCGTGGAGCCTCCATGCCTTTATGGCTTCTCCAAGCAACATAAGGTACATATTCTACCTCATAGCCTCGATGTTGTTGACTTGAAAAGTAAGAAAGAAACGCCTACGTCAGCTTGAATCCATGTGAGCTTGTGAACTGACCCCGTGACTGCGTTTCTAATGTGCAGGATCCAGACACGATACCCCTTATGGACGACCCCCCCATGCCATCACCTCCTGGAGGTAGGTCACGTTATTACAGATTTTGCAAAAAGTGTTAGTTTCATTGGCTCAGTCTCTTTCGAGTTGGTTGTTTTTGTTGGGCTGAGTGTTTCCAACAGTTTTGACGCTAACCTGAACGTCTCTTGCATGTTGCAGGCAATCTTCCATCTCTGTCTCTGCTGGACGGTGATGACTATATGGATGACCTGGTGGGGAGCTTCCCAGGCGTGGACGACCTGGATGTGGGATGGAGCGCACTGGAGTGAGTATGAGGTGATGTGGGGGTTGGTGTTACCAAGCAGCTAAGGAACCAGTGGTTAATAAGGTGCTGTGTTATGCTCAAGAGGGTCATTCATCATGACCCCTTGTGACGATATGGCCACCATCTTGATTGGTTCTTGTAGATATTGGCAATAATCCATTCTTGTTCCTAAATAACGTCAGTATTTTGTATATGTCCTGATGCTCATGAGGCATATGAAGGCATACCTACTATCACTCTATACAACATGGCCTCTAACAGTCAACACACAGTACTTAAGCACCAGCAACTGACTACTACCTTTCGAAACGATAACGCCTGTCCTTCTCCTCAATCGGGTAGTCTGAAATTGGCAAGACGGAGGCACAGCAACAGTTCCAAAAAAACGAATGATATGCAGGATCATGGCATACGGTAAAAGGGGGGAAAAGAAGGTACACACACAGTACCGTGATATGGAAACCGAACGGAATACGAGTCAAGGAGCGAATCATGCAGGAAAACAGCTCAGCAAAGAAATTTGAGTATCTGACCATTGGCGGACATGTCTCTGCGTTGCATCAAGCCCTCGGCTGTGAACTCCCACAGCTGTAGCAGCATAAAACCACAGATACTCATGCACACATCCCACACACGCATGCATGGATAACCGCACGTGCATGCACATACCCGCCCACACAGAAAGAAGATTAGTACGGCAGGTGAGGAAACAACACCAAAGAACCTATCCTGCAACCAGGCCTTCATTTCATCCCCTCCCATCCATCCACACATCCATCCATCCACCCCAGTCCTTCGATCTATTCACCTCGTTTCCATGCGTGCGCCACCACTGCCCCGTGGTGTCATGCCACTCATATTCGAATCGCACTGCAATGCGGTTCTCAGTGAAGCACCTGGGAAGGAAGGTTGGGGAAGAAGCGTAAGGTCAAAAGGCAGCAAGTGTGTGTGTGTTGGTTGTTTGTGTGGAGGTTGGCCCATGACGATCTGGTGCAACTCGCAGCAGTTAATTTTACGAAAGTGGGTTTCAAAGAGGATTGATATGGTCGGCTCCATTACCCCCCTTCCATGCAACAGGGGAGAGGGGAACGAATGCAAGGGGGGGAAGAGGAGCCAAACCTACATCTGCCGATTCCCTTTCTTCCCCACCCTCTCCATCATTTCTATCACTGCGTCCCTGCTCCCTGACCTTTCCTTCCGTATGCATACACTTGGGTGACTCTTTTCTGTTTCTTACACCTCTTAATCTGAAATTCCCCCCAGCAACCCCCCCTTTGAATCTGCTCATCACCCGCCCTGCCCCACCATAGTTCTTTCATTAGACGGTAGTCCAGCTCCTTGCTCCACTTGCGTCGGAGAAACGCTTTAATCTCCTCTCGCCCGCTGAAGAACTCGCAGCGATTGCGCCACTGCGAGTCGGGCGTGTAGGCCAGTGCCACGCGCTCGGGGTCGCGGCTGTTCCACGCTGCCTCCGCGAACTGCGGGAAAGGGGGTAGGGCGGAATGTCGAACGTGGAGAACGGGGTTGGACACGCACGGGGAACGGGGAATGGGGTACCGACATCGGCAGGGGAGAGAAAGGAAGTCGGAAGTTGGTCGGGAAGACGAGGGAGGGAGGAGAGATGAACGGCCCTAGATTCGCACGGTATCGCGTAAGGAATCGAACGAACCTTGACTTTAGCAAGAGCCGTTTCTTCCGTGAAAGGAGGAACCAGACGCGGCGGAGGCGCTGAACTGCCAGTGGCGGCCGCCCCTGCTAGGGACCGTGCGGCCTGCGCAGTGAAAACGGTCTGGCGGCATGCTTCTAAGCCAAGGGCGTGCCTATGGTTATGGCGAAGGAAATTAGCGCGACGAAGAGATGAGATTAAAAGCCGGCCCTGGGGCGGCATGGCTGAAACAGGATAGGTCTGCAACGAGAATTGTCGATCGAGGATGGCATGAGTGTTGGGTGAATGGTGCCCATAAATCAAGCTGAGAATAAGCTCAAGCTTAGAGCAATTTCCTTCGAGCAATCTCTAGGTGCATCCAAGGTGAGCGAGTTCAAGATGGCGTGGAGTCATACCGTAAATTACATGAAAGCAATGTGAAGGTACAATGCTTTATTCGAACATATACTACGGATCCGTACATAAAAACACCTATACTTTTTGTTCAAAACAAGATGCATGCATGCCCTTCCAGTGAGCCACAGGTCCTGATAAACCATCTTGCTTCAGCCATACCGTACCTAGGAGCTTACCTTGAGAGGGGTAATAAATGTGAAACTAATCACTCTCTTCAAAATAATTGCTAGTCCTCCTTTGAGTATCTTCTGGTTCAAGAACTTTGTCTGTCTTCTTGACTGTGCCACCTGAAGAGAGTGGGGAGGTTGAGGGAGACTGCGAAGCAGGATGCCAGGTTATCCACCTCCAAAACATTTCAATATGAGCCATTATACCTGGATGGCGCTCTGCATCATTGTTCTTGAGAAAAAGGGAAACTCGATCTGTCATACTGCCCAACATCCGAGAAATATATATTTATCTTGCAGTGCACTGTTCAAAGTGCAGAAGCGAAGCCCTCAATATCGGGGGTGATGACTCAAGTATCGAACTGCAGGGGCGCAACCGCGTACAGTGGTTGCGACCCGCGTGGCAGCCGAAGGGTCGAATTGAGCAAGAGGCAGCGTCTACAGTACGCGAAACCACCCTGGAGGCGCGGCAGAATACCGCGCCCTTGCCGAAGCTGAAAGGTCTCGCCAGTAACTGGGCAACTGAAACGTTACAGCGCAACTGTAATACAGCTGCGCCTTGGTAACTGCCTCCCTGCTATGTTTCCTATATAACTCAATGTACTGCCATGCTATCATTACACAATTCTCAAGCTTGTGTCCGGCCTACCCTCGGCCGCCGCTTTGGCGCCAAGTTACAAGCCAGGAGAGCTACTTCTGAGTGACCATAGCCCCGCCGCTGGGACGTCGTTATTTCCTAGAGTATTTCCGCTACTCTAGCGACCTCCTAATTTCAACATGGTATCAGAGCAAGCGTTCAAACACTTGGACCTGTGGGAGCAGCTTCATTCAGTTTGGCTCACCACCTTTATCATCACCAGGAGCATCTCCTGGAGCAGGTCAGAACCTGCCACTACCCACGGAGAATTTCGTGGAGGAAATCTTCAACGCGCCGTCGCATAATTTTGGGCGACTTGGCAAGACGCATTTCAAGGCGTACCGGTGAAGTCCCTGACGAGGACTTCAGAATTTCAACATGGAGAATTTCATCTCTCTTGGATTCTACACTTCTAACAGTGGAGGGGAGTGTTGGAAATATATTTGTGTGTTATTTATCTTGCAGTGCACTGTTCAAAGTGCAGAAGCGAAGCCCTCAATATCGGGGGTGATGACTCAAGTATCGAACTGCAGGGGCGCAACCGCGTACAGTGGTTGCGACCCGCGTGGCAGCCGAAGGGTCGAATTGAGCAAGAGGCAGCGTCTACAGTACGCGAAACCACCCTGGAGGCGCGGCAGAATACCGCGCCCTTGCCGAAGCTGAAAGGTCTCGCCAGTAACTGGGCAACTGAAACGTTACAGCGCAACTGTAATACAGCTGCGCCTTGGTAACTGCCTCCCTGCTATGTTTCCTATATAACTCAATGTACTGCCATGCTATCATTACACAATTCTCAAGCTTGTGTCCGGCCTACCCTCGGCCGCCGCTTTGGCGCCAAGTTACAAGCCAGGAGAGCTACTTCTGAGTGACCATAGCCCCGCCGCTGGGACGTCGTTATTTCCTAGAGTATTTCCGCTACTCTAGCGACCTCCTAATTTCAACAACCTTGAGAGGGGTAATAAATGTGAAACTAATCACTCTCTTCAAAATAATTGCTAGTCCTCCTTTGAGTATCTTCTGGTTCAAGAACTTTGTCTGTCTTCTTGACTGTGCCACCTGAAGAGAGTGGGGAGGTTGAGGGAGACTGCGAAGCAGGATGCCAGGTTATCCACCTCCAAAACATTTCAATATGAGCCATTATACCTGGATGGCGCTCTGCATCATTGTTCTTGGCAGTGCCCTTGCTAGGGGTCTTGGGGTTCGCCTTCTCCGAAGCAGGTGTAGTTTCTGGCTTCACAGCAGCTGCCCATTTTGAAACAGCAGGTTTTGGCTTGTAGGACGCTTCAAGATCAGAATGTGATAACTCTGATGCACTGTTCTCTGCATCACGCTGTTGGGTGGGCACAGCTGCTGCTGGTAGGTCTGTCGCAGTAGCATGTTTCCCCTTCCGTTGACCTTTACGTGTCCTCTGCCGTTTCCCATCTTGGTCATCCTTCCCTGTCCTCTTTGAACTCTTCTTGCCGGACTGCTTCTGCTGCTTTCGACTCCTCTTGGACTCCTTCCTCCTGTTTGTAGCCTCTGAATCGGCATCACTGTCACTTGAAGATTCCACAACACTGCTATTGCCTTCCTCGTCTTCATCTTCTGAAAGATGGACTTCAATAAAGTCACTGTCATCTTCGTCTTCTTCTGAAGACTCTCGGCGTTTCTTCTGTTGCTTTTTAGGCTTCGTACGATGCCGCTTTCCACCAGAACTTTGACTACTCGAACGACGACGCATGTAAACAAAACTTTGCAATGCAGACTCGTCAACTTCCAAACTGTTCACCTGCTGATAGGCACAGAAACAGCTGATAGCAATGCAAAGTACTAAACCCTAGCAGATACGGCCATGCATTTGACAGTGTTGACAGGCTCACCTTCATGCCCCAATTGTTCCAATTACTGTGAAGTGTCAGAATTGATGCAAACAGGTTGTAGAGAAGACAAACTGACAAGATAATGGCAGCCACCTGCGATGGAGGAAGAGACGGTGTAAAAAGGAAACGACAAGTATCTCAACTAGGCATGATGGTAAGAAACGTACCCCAATCAGCACCATATGGTTGCCGACAATAGCATACGCTTCTTCCTTGCTAATGTGCGCCACCTGTAAGACCAATCGTTACACACTGATTAGTGGACAGCACAAAACATGACATAGCGATAGTGCAGCATTTAATTCATATATACCTTCGTTGTAACCAGATCCCAGTGAGACTGTATGTATGCATCCGCTTGGGATTGCAGAACAAAGCATAAAATTGTTCCAATAAAAAGCAGAAGACACAGAACCTGAACCAAACGAGAGAAAAGTCAGACACGAAAACGTTATGGTTTAGAAAACATAGTTGGATTTACTCACAGCAAGAAGGAACGAGTGCAAGACAAGCAGGAACCTGCTGTTGTTTGCCAGGCCAAAATAACCAACAACGGAAAGTAGAACAGTGAAGGCGCCCACGATAGCTACAATAATGGCAGCATAGGCTCCCCTGCATTGGACGGGGCGTCATTGTTTAGCATTACTTACTTGCTACGCACCCACGGAAGTACTTCAGTAAGAAACTTACGCAATGTGGGCTTGGGATGTAACAATGGATAGATACAGAATAAATGCTCCAAACACCATCGTGAGAATATTCATGCTCATCGCCATTTGCTTTGCAGCATATTCTGAAAAAAGAAGGACAAGCATTAACAAACATAATCACAACAAGCCGGACGGAAAATCAACCACAATATGAAAGCATGCACTCACCATGTCCCATTAACGTTGATGAAATCCAGAGGCCAAGAACGAGCAAGACGGAGGACAAAACTGAGAGAACGCCTCCTTCAATCAAAGCTCGATGTGTCTGCAGGGCGTATTCACGAAAGTCACGCATTCCCTTCGAAGATAAAGAGAGGAAAAAATAAAGAAGATAAAAAGAGAAAAAAAAGACCGTATACCTTCGCGAGCAACATTTGGTCCACTGCTGATTGTGCTGTTGTGCTGACGTACGTTTCCAATATCTCGGAATACATCCTCTGCGAAAATCCAACACCAGGAACAGGGTGGTGAGGAAATCCACGTGGAGGCTCAACAACACCAGCGCCATTGATCAAACGTACCTCGTCAGCTGCGAAGATGAAGCAGAAGCAACCAAGATATATCAAAATCGCTACCATGACAAATGAGGGAGCATAGTACCTGCAGAAGGAAGGAGGGTTATAGCTTGGGTGGGGGGTAAGAATAAGAGTACCAGGTCCATCAACACCAAGCCTTACCCGAATAAAACTTGAGGATTCGTTGTAACAGCTCCAACAACGCCAGTCACACTAATCGCAATAAGGAGGGAACCGATAACTATCTGCACTCGTTATGTCATGGCTCGCATGCTTTTGTAAAGAAGAATGTCAGCAGTCGATGTTAGGAACTCAGACTTACCAGAGAAATGAATGGATCGCCGAGCATCCATGCGCCTAAATCCGTCCGGGCGGACTCCAAACGACCAGGCACATTATTCTCATCCACGTCATTGACACTGCAGAAGAGCATAGAGTCAACAGATAACTATATTACAGAATCAAACTGTTTTTCTTGCGCAACGATAGAAACCTGCTAGGCTGGGCTTCTGTGACGACGCTGCTTGTGTTGTTCTGTCCCAAGTCACTGTTGCGATCCAGCACACTCTTCAGGTTCCGTCTGCCTTGAACCCCGGCACAAATCAGCGCAATGCTGAACGATAAAAGAGCCAAGTTGAGAAGAACAAGCATGGTTCGCCTTTTCAGCCTGCGAAAGTCGTTGGGTCATTAGTCGTGAAATCACTACCGGAATACAAACTATACTGTCTTACTTCATCCGCCTCTCCTCTGGACTTTCAGGCTTGACAGCCATGCGAGCAAGATCGCGAATTTTCTTGAGCTTCTTCATTGAGGCCTTCTTAGCTTTGGCAAACATCTTCGCCATGATGCAACGCTTCTTACGCTGGGAGTGATAAACTTGAATGTGTGATCAGAGAAAGAGGCCACCATGCATTTCAATCATCAATGGGTGGAGGATACCGAGATGTTCCCCGTCACCACCGATGTTTTGTGCTGACCAGAAGCCCAGTTCAGTGCTTGAAAGTGGTTGGCGTATGTCAGTCAAATCGACACATTCGCGTCAGCATGGTGTAACCTATCGGTACTCCATTCAGCCCTCTTCGCAAATGTCAACCCACAGCCTAATTCATCAATAGAACTGCTACCAAATTATTAGGAAATCTTGCTTCTCATTATACATATATAATAAGTAGTTCTTCATTTCACACATGTACATGTTTTTTACGAGCCATAAATTGTGTCATAACGTGGATTTCTCTCATTTTCGCGGTAAACACAGTGTTACGGGTGCAATGAATCGAAGTAGCGAGAATTGCACGAAGGTGTCAAACGAGTACAAAATGTGAGCGAAGGCATGAGCAAACATTTATACGGGAAACATGCAAACGGTAACGCGGTGCGAGCGAGCTAGCTAGTGCTACGCTGGAGCGAGGCTCGGGCTAGTCCCGAGGCGTAGGCCGACACAGCCATGCCAGCAGTGCGAGGTTTGGTGAAACATTGTGCGCGAAGTCGGCGAAGCCCCGTTAGCAGTAACGGGCGAACAACGGCTGTTGCTGTACGCGATGTAGTCGGGCTCCGTAAGGAATGTCGAGAAAATTCCTTACACTACCCCCCCCCCCCCCCCCCCCCCCCCCTTCAAGAAGCCCCCTCCGCTACGTGAGTGCATGTATTGTCAGAATGTTATAATTATCTAGCCTGTAGTGGGGTGCTCTATAGCGAGTACAACCCTGTTAGGGTTTGCTATATGTATCCCAACTGCTGCTAGTGAAACCCCTCCTTTCTTCATTCTTACTTTCTACTGCTAGTTCTGACATGTTATCAGAGCAGGTCGACCCTCCTGGGTCGATCCTGTGGGTGGGCCCACCACCTAAAGCTTCCGCTGCTCTACTGCTGTCGCGCGCCCCGAGCGCGCTACCCTTTCTTCCTGCTGCGCGCTCCGCGCGCGGCGGTTTTCCTGTGTGGCGCGCGCTCGGGGGGCGCGCGGCCCTTTCTTCTTCCTGGCGCCACCTGGCGAGCCACGCGCTGCCCCCGCCCGTCCGTCACGGCACCCAAGGGAGTCGCGCGCTGCCCCCGCCCGTCCGTCGCGGCGCCCTGAGGAGTTGCGCGCGGCCCCCGCCTGTCCGTCGCGGCACCCTGGGGAGCCGCGCGCTGCCCCCGCTCGTCCGTCGCGGCGCCCTGAGGAGTCGCGCGCGACCCCCCACTGCCCCGTCGCGCCGCCCTTGGAGCCACGCGCGGCCCCCTGCTGCCCCGTGGTGGCGCCCCTGGGGGCCGCGCGCCGTCCCCCCCGCTTTCCCCCCGCGCTCCTGCCCCTTGCAACCCGTTTTAGGGTTTTGGGCTGAGGAGTATGGGGGTGGCGGTTGTGGGGGTGCCCGTTGTGTGCGCCGTCCCCTACTCCTCCTCCTCCTCCGTCTCCCGCTGCTGCACCTGCCGCTCAGGGGGGTGTCTGTGTGGGGAGCTGAAGGACTGGTGCTAGGGGGGTGAAGGGGGAGTGGAGCTAGGGGTTAAGCAGGGGGTGTGTGTCAGGGGGGGGTGGGACTGTTTGGGGAGGCTGAGAGGAGGCTGCCGTCTTGTCGTCCGCAGCACTTGTAGTCCGGGGCGCTGTCCTGGTAGCCCAGAGAGCCTGCTGCGCCTGTCGCCCGTGGGTCCGTTGCTCCTGTAGCTCCTCGTAGCCCGTGAGCCAGTTACTCCAGTAGTCCGGGGCGCTGTCCCGGTAGCCACTGTGCCAGCCGCTCCTGTTGCCCGTGTGTCTACAGCTTCAGCCGTCGTCTCCCATCTTCTCTCCTCTCACATTCCCTCCTCCTCCTAACTTGCCCACTGTGACTACCACTAGCTTTGCTCATAGTTGTGAACTACTGTTATTCTTGCTCATTGTGCTGATTATACCCCACTTTGGCTATGGGGGTGTGTCAGAATGTTATAATTATCTAGCCTGTAGTGGGGTGCTCTATAGCGAGTACAACCCTGTTAGGGTTTGCTATATGTATCCCAACTGCTGCTAGTGAAACCCCTCCTTTCTTCATTCTTACTTTCTACTGCTAGTTCTGACATGTATATCGCGGAATCCTCGGCTCCTCAGGTACACTTGTAGGGCAGGGTGGTTTTCGATGTTGGCCAGGGGCACCCAGCTGTCCTCAGTTGGCGTGCGATCCTTCCAGCGGACGAGGAATTCAATCCTCTTGAGTCCCGTGGGGTGTCGAATTTGATGGCTTAGGATTTTTTCGGGCTCGATGATTCGCTCCGATGCAGGGCGAGTCATGGATGGCGGGCAGTGGCGAGGCAGTTGGCTTGTGGTTGGGATGTAGGGGCAAAGCAAGCTGACGTGGAACGAAGGGCTGATGTACCAGTCGGTCGGTAACAGTAGGTGCGCTGTTACTGGCGTGATCATGTGGCTGATTGGGAATGGGCCACAGTAGCGCGGTCGAAGTTTTGGTACGTCGGGTAGTCGCAGATTTTGCGTGTCGAGCAGTACGTAATCCCCTGACTGGTATGTGACTGGGCGGCGGTGGCTTTCAGCGTTGCGCTTAGCGATGGCGTTTGCTTTTTTAAGTGCTTCTGCGGCTCTGGTGCGGGCAGCTTGCAGAATTTCTGCGAATTGCTGTGCTCGTGGTGTTGGGTTGTCCGGACTCGGCGTCATGGGCACTGTAGGATTTTGCCCGTAGTTCAGGTAAAAGGGGGACTGCTGCGTCGTCGCTGACGTGGCATTATTGTACGCGAGCTCGATCAGCGGCAGCTGCTGCTCCCAAGTCGTGGGGTCGTCGCACGTGGCACGAATCAACTTCTCCATCGTCTGATTCGTCCGCTCCGTTTGACCGTCGGTCTCGGGGTGATACGACGAACTGAACTGTAGCCTGGTTCCGAACTCCTCCCAGAGGTTCTTCCAGAAGTTGCTGGTGAACTTCGTGTCCGTGTCGTTGATAATTGCTGCTGATATCCCGTGCAGGCGAACAACGGCCGCGATGAACAGACGAGCGGTCTCCTCGGCTGAGATCGACTTTTTGCACGCAGCGGAGTGTGCCATCTTCGTCAATCTGTCAACGACGACCATCACCGCGTCGTTACCCCCAGGGTTCGAAGGTAACCCTGAGACAAAGTCCATGGAAACCTGCTGCCAGGCGCGCTCGGGCGGTGGTATCGGCTGCAATTGACTCGCCTTCCGCTTCCTTGAGCTCTTCATCACCTGACACGTGGGGCATGAGCCCACGTGCTGCTGTACGTCGGTCAAAAGCCTGCCAATTGCTGTGAGTTTCCGGTCGTGAAGAATGGGTCGGTGCGGAATCCGTAGGTGAATAGGCCTGTTAAAAGTGGGTAGGTCTGGGCGAGTAGGATGGCGTGGAGTTGGGCGGTAGGGCGGGTGAGTGCGTCGGCGATGTTGGATGCGCCTTTCTTGTACGTAACCCTGTAGTGGAAATTGGACTCGAGGTAGTCCAACCAGCGAATCTGTCGTGGATTGAGATTCGGTTGGGCGCGTAGGTACTGTAGTGATCGGTGGTCTGTCCGTACTGTCACGTCGGCGCCAGTCAGGTAACACCGCCAAACCTTGAACGCGTGCACGATCGCCAACATTTCGCGGTCGTGTATCAGGTAATTGCGTTCGGGCGGATGCAGCTTGCGGGACTCGTACGCGATTGGCTGGAGACCGCTCCCGAAATCCTGCAACAGTACTGCTCCCACAGCGATGTCACTTGCGTCAGTGACGAGCTCGAACGGACGGTGTGGATCTGCGATGTGAAGCACGGGCGGTGAGCACAAAATGTTTTTGAGGGCCGAGAAGGCAGCTTGCTCTTTCTCCCCCCACATGTACTCAACCCCCTTTCTCAGCAGGTTAGTCAACGGGGCGGTCAGCTTCGCCATGTCGGGGACGAACCGGCGCACGTAGTTGACGAACCCCAAAAAACTCTGCAACTCGGTCAAGTTGGTCGGCACGTGCCATGCTTGAATCGTCGCAATTTTCTTCGGGTTGACAAAATTAGAAGAAGAAAGAGGAATGAACTAGCAGAAATGGGGATACAAATAGCAAACCCTAGAAGGGTTGTACTCGCTATAGAGCACCCCACTACAGGCTAGAATATAAGAATAATATTCTGACACACCCCCATAGCCAAAGTGGGGTGTAATCAGCAGAGCAGGCAAAGCAAAACAAGCTCAGGGTGGATCACAATGTCACCACACATTCTGAGCACAAGTTCAAGAAGAAATAGTTTAGAGTTCACAATTATAAGCAAAGCTAGTGGTAGTCACAACGGGCAAGTGAGGAGGAGGAGGGAGAGTGAGGGGAGAGGAGACAGGAGGCGACGGCTGAAGCTGCAGACACACGGGCAACAGGAGGCAGACTGGCACAGCGGCTACCGGACAGCGCCCGGACTACAGGAGTAACAGGCCCCGCGGCTCAAATAGCGGCGGACGGGCAACGGACCCACGGGCGGCTGGCACAGCTGGCTACGACTGGGCTACCGGGACAGCGCCCCGGACTACAGGTGCTGCGGACGACAAGCCGGCAGCCTCCGCTCAACCTCCCGCAAACAGTCCCACCCCCCTGATACACACCCACTGCTACACCGCTAGCTCTACTCCCACGCACCCCCCCTTAAACCATAAACCCAGTCTCCCACACATCCACCCCCCTCAGCGACAGCTGCAGCAGTGGGAGACGAAGGAGGAGGAGGAGCAAAGGGAGGAAGGAAGACCGGCCACCCCCATACCCGCCACCCCACAGCTCGCCCCTCAGCACGGGCGACGGGAAATGGCAGGGGGAGGGGGGGGGGGGGGGGGGGGGGGGGGGGCGGGGTGGTGAAAGGGACCCACCACGGGCCTGGTTGGAGGGCGGGGCCGCGAAAAGGGGCGGGGCCGCGACGAGGG